AGTGGACTGCTCCTGGATTCGGTCCTCCAGAGACAACTTATAGTTCTCCTGGACTTCTCCATAGGATGCTTCCGACGGGGTCTCTGACGAGTTCCCATACCAGTGCTCTCCTTCACTGAGGTCGCCCTCCGCCTCTTCCTGCCTACTAACATCTGGAGGGAATTAAGAAGATCAGGTTTACTCCCAGAGTGAGCAACGAGCAAGTCTGAAGACATTCAAATGGAGTCGCTGGCATGCTTCCTCTTCCCTTCCACCCAAAAACCACATGAAAGACAGCAGCAACCGGCCTACAGTCTCAGGTGCTGAGTCAGACAGGCTTGGCCTAAGCCGGAGAGGAGGTAAAATGCTAAGTAGGCAAAGGTAAAAACACACCCACTTGTGACATGTGTTAACCTTTCTAATAATTGTTCCAGAAACGTTGGAAAGGAAAAGGAAGAAAGAGAAAACGGATCTGCTAAAGAAGAAACTGGATGAAGAAACTGCAATTTTCAATGACTGGGGGAAATGGAAAGAAGCTTGTACCCTTGTAAAAAACCAGCATGAGATCTTTAGTGCCCAGTCGGAATTAGAGAGGCAGCTGGCAGAGTGGGAAAGCGTTGGCTACGAGGCACAAGACAGTACGAAGCTGCTTCCCCACTTTCTTACTCTATGGCCTCACGCGAGTCACTTAGCTGAGATAAGATGCAATTAATTTTTTTTTAAAGTGTAACAAAAAATGTAAACAATAACTATCATACATTGTATATTATAACAACTATAACACCCAGTCGTTGTGAAGCTTAAATCATAATACACATGACCACGTTTTGAAACAGTCAAGTACTATATAAAAATCAGATCTTGTTAGCAAACAACATTAACATTACTGATTTCTTAGAGTCACAGTATCTCCCATGTTATGCGTGCTACTTGTTTGAGAGTCCTCGATTCCCATCACCAACATGCCTGTAACCTCATGCAAGGCAGTGATTACTAATTCCTTCACTCCACTAACAGTGCCCTTTAATTATTTTCTATCCATTAACTTATCCATCTACCACTACCACTCTCACGGCCCCTCAAGCATCAGTCGGTTGAGACTCCTTGCCATTCCAGGAGCACTCGTGAGCTCTGTCACTTTCCTCAAAACGTTCCTTCTATCTGGAATGTCTTCCCTGGAAAATGTGACTGTCCAAATTCTGCTCATCCTTCAACACCCAGCTCAAAGGTTTCCTTCCTCATGATTCTCCCCAGAACTCTCAGTCAGAATTAACCTCTCTTTCTCATTTATTCACTCAATTATTCAACGAATAACTATGGCTACCTGTTGCATGCATTGAATAAAACAGAGGTCCTGCCTTCTCAGAGCTTACATTTCGGTGGGAAAAGACAGATGTTAAACGAAGTTAATAAATCAGTAAATCATAGAGTAAATCAGAGGCTGATCAGTGCTATGGAAAAAGATACAGAGCAGGACAAGGATTGCGGGTAACGGGCAGGAGGCGAGCTGCAATTCTAAATAGGGTGGTCGGGGTGAGGCTTCACCTTCAGGCAAAGACTTGAAAGATGTGAGGGGTTGTTCATGCAGCATCTCTAGAAGAGTTCCATGCAGAGGGAGTCCCTGTAAAGGCCCTCTTGTGGGAACCTGCCTGGGAAGGAAACCAGTGTGGGGGAGTGGAGTGAGGGAGAGAGAGAGAGGAAATGAGCTGTGAAGGAGCTGGCCTGTGCATAGCAGCAGGACACTGTACACTACTGAAAAGTCTTTGGCTTCTAGTGAAATTAGGCTCCTCCGGAGAGTTTGGGGCAGGACAGTCGTATGATGTGACTTTCAAAGGACTGTTCTGGCTGCTGTGCGGAAAAGAGAATTCAGGTACAAGGGTGGGAGCAGGTAGACCAGATCAAGGTGAGTGCAGGGGGTGAGAAGCAGCCACATTCCGTGCATATTCTGAATGCAGAGCCAACATTCACATGTTTGTTTATATTGATTTTATTTATTTACTTATTATTCTACATTATCTGTCTGCTATTGGCTTATCTTCTGAAAGGTAAGTCGAGGTGTTCCCTGAAGGCAGGGGTTTTATTATCTACGAACCCCACACTGTGCCCAGCAAAACACCTGGTCACTAGCAAAGTTCAGTGAATGTTTAAGGATTGAGCCAAAATCCCCCATTGTGCCAAGGGTTGCTATATAATATGCTGCCTTTTCAGAATAGAAATAGCTAGAACTAGTAATACATGCACTACAAGCTAATATATTGATCTTCCCATGCTATTTAGAGAAGAAATGTCACAAATGACAAATTCTCTTTCACTAAGCTGAAATTCTGCAGCTCCTTCCTGTGAGTCTTTATTATCAAGAAAATGCAAAATATCAAATGGAATTTGCTGGGGAAAAGCAGATGAAATTGAATTTTCTCTTTTAAAAACAGTCTGGTTCCTTGTGATTTGCCACATTTCCTTCTTCCCACTTGATTTCAACATTTTTCATCTTTCTGAAATCAGCAGGATCCTGAACTACTCATCTGCCCAATGGCTTCTCCTAGAGAGCTTTCTACCAAACACCAAGCAGTCGACACCAGTTTCAACAGCTGGGCTGCGTTTATGTTCCTTTGGCAAACCACCTTTCTTGATTTCAGATTAAATATCTCATCCTTCAGGATAATCACATGGGACTGATTTAAAACTCAGTACAGTGAGAATTAGTTGAATATTTCCTTGAAGAATCTCTTCTTTGATCTGTATTGATACTCGCTAAATGAACTAACATAGGAAAATAGGAAAACAAATGATTCAAAAGTAAATACTGTTAGATTATATTTTTGTCAAACTAGAGTAGCTCTAGAACTCCAAGACTGGTCTAGAACCTTGCTATAAGGGTCAATTAACAAAGAATATATAAAATCAGGGTTTTGATAACCACAAAAAGATTACAACCACATGTCCAGGCCCATCACTTTACTGAGACTATTAATATTCTAAAAGTTATCTGGTTGGTTCAAAGATATACTGCTACCTAGTGCTAATGCCAGAACCAAGAGCCTAAATCCTTCAGCACTTGGCCCAGTGCTTCTCTGCAAAGCCCCAGTGCACAGTCTGCCAGATGCACTTAAAATGGCAACTTCTAGCGAGTACTGTCAGAGCAGCTGCCCTCTACCCCCACACATCCATCCTTCCACCCTCTAGAGACAGAAATCAGCAAGGAGATTCTCTTAGATGAGGTCAGTGTTCACTCTTCGTCTTGAGATAAACCATTAAGAGGTAAAAAATACCCATTATTCCTATACCCTAACCTCCCCATTCCCTCTCTGCCTCTCCTTTGTTGCACTTGGTCAAAAATGGATTCAAATGCCTAAAGAATTCAGCACATCTACTGGTAAAGCCCCAAAGGCAACGCTTGATTTCTGACCCCTTCCACAGACACCCTCGGAAGCAGGACTATTCCCCCTTCCAATGTGCTGAAGCGAGAAAGCATGTCAAATACTAAAGAAGTTGTCAACTCAGGCTCCAATCCTATCAAGCACCGATAGGAGATCCAAACATTCTTGAAAGATATGTGATATCTGCATTTAAAGCAACTTCCCCAACCTTGCCAAAACATAAGCCCCAAACAAGCAAACAAAGCATTTCTTAAACGGACCGGTTTATGTCCTCTGAAATACCTGGATATTTCTCAACCATACACATTCCTCTGTTCTTTGCAGACGCGAACACAGAGATACGCTCTCTTCTGGACTGCAAGACAACTTGGATATGAAGAATATTTTTAAACTCATAATACTCTATTAATCTCTTTTCTGAAGATGCTGCAACTGAAATTGAGGTTATTCAAGTAATAAACCACCAAATAATTGTAATGCATGGCCTAGAAAGAGCCGGGCCAGAAACCTGAGGAGAAACAGATCTGAAATTATTCTGGCATCACCTGAGGTCAAACGAAAGGTGGGGGAAGCATTCAGAGAAACGAATGCAAGAGACGTGGGGATGAGCAGAGGTCAGAGAAAAATCATAAGACGCTCAAACAAATACGCTTGCAGTTCACAGACAAGGAACAAGGATTTTCTCCCACAAATACTCATTCTTCCCCCTGCCGGGCTGCTCCCTATTTTCACATTCAGTTTTACCAAGGAAGTATTCTGGAAGGCTGCACGGCTCCGGGTGTGGGGAGCTCTCCTCCAGCAGGGCCTGTAGGGCCCCCAGCACCTGGGATCCTGCCACATGAGAAAAGCTTCTCTCATCAGGACGCACAAAACGAAGCATTCGGGCAACCTAGGGGATCCACTGGTTGAACACCACAAACTTGAGAAAAAGCGAGGCTTGACTTTTGACTTTCTTTCACAATCTGAGAAGCCCCTGGGCAGCGAGACAGCTCCATTTTCCTGTCTGTCACCAGCACGGAACGGTGGGACGTAATCACAGAGAATCGCGTGTGCCCCCATCCTGGAAATGCTTCCTGTGCACGTCCGCCGACCGTGGATTCTACCGCTTTCCTAGCAAAGGCTCCCGGGGAAGCCTCTGAATGGCCAGGGTACATAACTTGCTTCGAAATACATTATTTTTAACCTCCAGAATAGGAAGCGATTTCCATGGCTAATTCTGCAACAACCTGTGTCTCTCACAGCCAGGTTCACAGTCGTTCTTGTCAATTTTACACAACAGTCTGTATTTGTGTTTTCCACTTTAAATCAGAAACCCAAAGAATTAAGAATAGAAACGGTGCAATTACAGAATGAAAATATGCTGAATAAATCTTGTTTCCATGTGGTGACAATTTCTCCTTTGGGGAAAACAAAACAAAATTCCACTACCTAACACGTTTATTTATAATTCTGTTCTCGAGCAGAAACTCAGTGACTCGATATCAACAACTCTTGCTGCATTTTTTCAACTCACTTCCTCTACTGTTTGACAGCGGCAATCAGATGCATTTAATTGGACCAATATTCATCTAAGATCCTCATTCAGAAAGATCAGAGCAGAAATAAAATATGAGACATCTATTAATTTTCATACCTTTTGGCTGAGGTTAAAGCAAGTGGAGATGGAAGCCCAGAACTCATACTTCTTAATCTATCCATAAATCATCCCCTCCAGACAGTTCACATAAATGTAACCAGCAGGTTGGGAAGAGAAGAGGCTCGACCCCTCAGAACTCGCCTATGGTCAATTCTCTGGCAGTCAACACACTCGTCTTATGAACACAGGTGTGTTCACCTGGTACCTACCAACTCATCTTCTGGCTCATCTTCATCTAAAAATCTTCCAAGTTCTCCCTTTCTATCGAATGCATATCAATAGCTAAATACCTATCCCTACCTTTTAAGGCCATGTATCTCTATCGATTTTGTCAGTTATACCTTTAATGCTTCCCTCAAATCATACAACCAAATTTTCCATGTGGTTTTATACAGAAGTGGTTTGTAAAGTTGAAGGAATCGTACACAAAAGTTATTAGCAAAACCAGTGCTAACAGTTGATTTAACTCAACAGACATTTAGTGAACATTCAAGGAACTGTTCTCTGCAACAAGGAGACTCAGAGATGCAAGTCTCTGGCCCATAGTTTATAATCTGTGGGAGTGCAAGGGTCGCACAAGCATAGGAAGCACAGAGGAACAGAGCAAGGGTTGCATATGCACAAAAGGAGTGATTAATTCTGGTGGTGAATGTGGCTGTGGAAATAGACCTCGAAGGATGACGATTCTAACAGATGATGTTGGAAATCCACTTGGAAGTGGGTCTGCAAAATATCAAACAGCAAATAGCCCAGTCATGGAGAAAGCTAATATCCAGGTGATAATTGCTGGATAAATCGACCAAACAAAAATTTTTTATATTCTTGATTCTTCACACTTTAAAAGGACACCATCTATTGATTTGCGAAGGGCAGAGTTTATCAATCATCTTACTGTACTCACTAGTTGCAAAATCAAACCATTAGCTTATAAATACCGGAGGCAGGACCATGAGTCAGTCATTATGGCGCTCCCGCTCGATGTAGGGGGACCAGGGCTCCTGTGGTTGTAATTACCACCACGACAGCAGGCAGCCACAGTTAAGGTTCTCAGTCTCTGTACCCATCCCTGAGAGGGGCACGAAGGAGCTTCCAGCAGCAGAGAGGATGTCAACGCCCTTCAGGGCGCTCTCTCGTTTGCCTCTAAACTCTCTCTCCCTTCAGAGGTTGGCTCGTCCTCTCAGGCTGCCTTTCCTAGGAGGCCGACGACCTGGCTGCTCAGGTTTTAGGTTTTCACTCTCAATGACTTACCATCGGAGAAAGGTCTTTCCCCGTCTGATTGGCCTGGGGGAGGTCATGTTCTGCTCCTTGGTTCTATCACGGAGGCCAGAGGGCGGGCTCTACCATTGGCTCAATGTGGGTCACAGAAGAAAGGCGAGGAAAGAGGCACCAGGAAGACAAGCAATGACCTCTATAATGTTTAATAAAGGCTCAGCACGCTGCACATCAGGCTGTTCTGAACCAATTTTGTAATTTTAAGCATAAAACAGATCCTCATCTAGGCCAGTTTTACCTGCCAATTTTTAAATTGCCCCTTTGTAGCCAGAAACCCTTAGCACATCCCCCACACCAGTTCTGCCCGCACCTAAGAGACCTCTCCGGGGTTCCGGGCTCCAAGTCCACAGTCTGAGTTCAACGCACCGGCCACTAATCGGTTCCCCAGGACAAAGCCTCAGAGCACAGATATCAAAACATCGATGCCCAGGGCACCCGACCGCTTGCAGCATGGCCAGGAAGAAAATTTAAGAACTGCTAGTTATTTCAAACTGCCAGGGTGGAGAAGACCAGATTCCTGTCACCAGTCCAGCTGGGGAAGAGGTGTCGTAGGGCGTGGGGAAACGGCAGAAAGTCTGGAGAGGACGAGAGTCCTCAGACCAGACAGCAGGGAGGGCTCCTGGGTCAAGATGAGTAGTTTGCACATGGCAATATTTAAAAATTATTATTTTAAATGTCCATGAGTAAAAAAGAGGTAACAAAAATAGACACATCACTCCTTCTCTTCCATGAGAGTTCCAAGCAGTATCTCAGCTGGCTTCAATGTTGGCACTTAAAGCTGCGTATTAGCCAGATCTTGCAGTGACTGAGGAATTACCCAAGCTCCTCCCTCAAACCGCCCATCTCAACATCAAGGACAACGGCTCCATCCTTACAGCCGCTTAGGCCAAAATTTCTGCAGCCAGCCTTGACCCTTCTCTTTCTCTCATACCTCACATCCAAATCATTCGTGAATTTGGTTGATCCTACCTTCAATACACATCCCAAATCTTGCCACTTTTCACCATTTCTACCGCTCCCACCTGGTACACGGTGCCGCCATCGCTCGCCTGAACTGACAGCAGCCTTCCAACTACCCTCCCTACTTCTGATTCTGCCCCACTATTCTCAGCCAGCAGCCAGGATGAGCTTTTAAAATATTATGTCAGGCTCCACTACTCCCATCCCCAAAGCCTCCACAATGGCTTCTCTTGTTTCTCAGAATAAAATCCAAAAGCCTTACCTTGATTTCAAGGCCCTACATAATTTGTATCCCTCTGACCTCATCTCCTACTGCTCGTCCTTGCTAATAAAGCAGGCTCCTGCCTCAGGGCCTTTGTACTTGCTGCTTCTTTTGCCTGGAATCTGCCCCCCTACCAAAAAAAAAAAAATAGCCTCATGGTTGATTCCCTTACTGCCACAGATTTCCCCTCCAACGTCATTGTCTATTAAAATAAACGCTCCATGAGAGCTCTGTACTGTTTGCTGCTGTATCCTCAGCACGTAGAATGGTACCGTACACACAGCAGACAATTATTATTTGTCAAATGAATAAGAAGAACGTATTAACTATTGGAAAAGTAGCACTTAGTACTGGAAACGAGAACTATTTTCAAAATTATAAATGATAATTCTATTTTTCTCATGTTGAGTCTAACACAAAAGAAGAGAGTCTGTTTTGCAAACTTTCCCACCAAAATCTCCCTAGTGGTCAAGAAAAGTGAACAGCACCCGAAGGAGAACTTGGGACTGAAGCCGAAGCCCCCTCCAGGAAGCCCCAGATTTCTCTGCGTTTTAGCTTAACAATTCAAGGGAATGCTGCACTCTATATACTATAGCTGTTCTTGTCCTTACTCAACACCGCGGGAGTGTTTCTCACCAACCATTCAGGAACATTTATTCTCCGGAAGGAAGCACCATCTTTCTCTGGATCCCCACCTGCTTTGGAGAAACACGTACCCTACTGGAGAAGCAAAAGGGCATGGCAAGTACCTAGCACAGTGTCGAAGCTCAATCAAGGGCGGCTGTCATCGTTGCCATGACCGAGGTCAGAAAACACACAGTACTAGTCCTGTTACCACACTTCAGAGAGAAAACTAAAGCGGAGAGGGTAACGTCCCAGGATTGTACACGGATCTGCAGACGATCAAGAACTAGAGCCTTATTTGTTGAATTTGGATTTTGTTATATGAATAATTTTAGAAATGGCAAAGCCTCGATGATCTAGTGCCCACGGCTCAGCTCTGAGCAGAGACTGAGAGACGATCAGTGATTTGCCCAAGATCCACATAGATGATTTACAAACATAGACAGGACTTTAGCTGAGATGTCCCGATCCGAAAGCTGGGGCTTCTGCTACTAAATCAGGGCGTCAGTATCATTAAGTGAATGAATGAATTCTATAACAAGGCTGGAGTATAATAGGCTCCCAACAAACATTTGTCTAATGAATCCACAATCAGGCATAAAGCACTGAAAATGTACCTGGTACTATATTAGATATTTTAATATTCATCGGAAAAGTTGACCCTCACAATAACTTTATGTGGTAGATCATACTCTCTTCATTTTACAGACAAGGAAACCAAGGTTCCAAAATGTTAATGGCTTATCAAACATACATATTTAGGGAGTAACAAAGCAAACTTCAAACCCGAATCCTCAAAACATCTAAAAGAACACTAGGAGCTTGACAAAAAAAGTAATTTTTCAAGTAACCAAAAAGTACCAAAGTACCTTCAAGCAATCAACATTTTAAAATTTCATTTTGATGGGATTTAAAAACACAGACACACTCGAGCATGATGTGTTCAACACGATTACGACGTTTGTAATACACAGATGTGTCTCAGAGGTGACTGGGACTTTTCAGCAGCTTGCCCCAATATTAAATGGCCTCAAGCAATTGTACTTTAAATTACTATTCTTACTTTAATAGTACTTTTGAATGCCCTATGCAGAGCCCCTTCCTCCTAAATCTGCGGCTTTCTGTCTGCCATAGCTGAGATTACAATCACCAGGCTTCTTAAAACTGCGCAAACTAACGATGAAAACCTAGTGTCATGAGTTGAATTAGATCCCCTCAAAATATGCTGAAGTCCAACATCCAGTAATCTGTGACTTCGACCTTATTTGGAAATAGGGTTTTTACAGATGATCAAGATGAGGTCATGGGGTGAGCCCTAACCCAGTATGAATGGTGTTCTATAAAAAGAGGGAATTTGGACACAGAGACAGACACACGATGTGAAGGCTGGAGTTATGCTGCCGCCGGCTAAGGAGCTACCAGCCGCAGGGAGAGAGGCCTGAAGCAGCTCCTTCCCCAGAGGGAGTGTGGTCCTGCTGACACCTTGATCTTGGACTTCTGGCCTCCAGAACAGTGAGACAATAAATTCCTGTTGTTTACGCCACCCAGTCTGTGGTTCTTTGTTATGGCAGCCCCAGGAAACCAATACACTTAAGTCTGAATGAAGGCCTGAGGCTTTTTTCTGGGTTTGTTCACCTCTGGATTCTAACACTGTAGCGTTTGTAGGAGCCAGGGGTTACTGTCCACACGGACCACACTGCCACGTGGGGTGAAGTCCTCCGCAGCTGGAAAACTGTGAACAGACGAATAGGTTATTTTTTGCCCATCTCTAAGCTTTAGCCAAATTTCTTTCAAATAAAAGAGTTTAAAAAAGACATTGAGTGAGAAAAGTGTCTTATTACTAGAGCTACGTAACAATCTCCAAAAATATATATATACATCCTCATCACCAAATATGTTGTGCCTAATTAATAAGAAAGGGACAGTTCAAAATATAGCATGAATCCACTAGCCAAAAGGCCAATCTAGAGACCGAAACAGTACTGATTAGTCCATGGATTGATCACCTGCTCCTTCACCCTTCCATGCACCTCCACGTTACAAAAAGCATATAGAATGTGTCCCCTCAAGCAATCAGAAGTAAATTTACCATGGCTACCATGGCGTTATCAGAAAAATTGTCTGCTAAGGCTGATAAATCGGTCGATTATCTGCTTCCTTGACTTTTATTTCCTCTTGTATAAATGTTTTCATCCCACCATTCCCAATACCTGTTATAAGATGAACGATAAATTACCCAGCCACTGAAATCACCAGGAAATGCTTAATAGATCAAAAAAGAACTTAACAACAACAAAAAAGCCCTAATAACATAATAACGCATTCTGTAGTCTAAGAACAGCACTCTATAGAGAGATAAATGACTACTTATTGAAATCTTAGCTTATACATAAAATGAGACATTCCTTCCTGGGCACATTTACCAAGCAATGACATCACGCACCTTGTAATGAAACATTTCATGGTCATCATCACTCTGCCTGCCGATGGAAAATTTCACACAGTAAGTCTTTTATTTACTAAAAATATGTGTATATCCGGAAATAAAATTGCCTTGGGAGATTAGAGATTTAGCAAGGGAGAGGAGATGAAATTGCTTTTTATCTAGTGATTAAATACATATAAAACGAAAGCTTCAGAGGAAGCAGCTCCCCACCCCCACATATTCGGCAAAAGATACTTAGTGCTATGGAATTGAGAGAACTTTCTCTGGTTATGCACGAGAATCTGTGACACCAAAGGACACAGATTACAAGGACAGCTCTAACTCAAGTTAACTTTAAACACCGATGTAGGCCAACAATTTTAACCTTTACTCTGACCAGGCTTTGTGCCAGGGCTGCTATCACGTGGTTGCACGTA